TCTTGGTTAAATTTCATATGGCTATACCAGCAACACTGCTCTGTAGCGTCAACTTGACCTTTGGTGTCAAGGCAAATAGATTTTGTTTAGACTTCTACTTTCGTCAGTTGAGGCGAGCAACTGCTTCAGCCAACTGTTCAGATTGTCCATACATTGGATCAAAATTTTTCATTTTTTGATCTCCCTTTTACATAAGATACCACTATAATAGTAAAATTTACCTGGATTTGGATTTATCTGAAGTATTGTTTTGTCTATGTCTATGTTCACAGTAGATCAGGACCAAATTGGAAGCATTAATGATTCGCATGTTTTCATCAATTCTATTTACAGTTGTTTCATAGCTCGAGAAAAATTCTACTACTTGTTTCAACCGTTACTATTCTTTCTTCTCATATCCTCCTTTTTGTATTTCAAAGGGCAATTTAAGTATTTCCACTAATGCTCATCGCAGTTCTGGGGCAAGTAACGAAATGAGTTACTTAATTTAATCGCTCGAATATTGATATAATGGTCTTGTTTTTGTTCTCGGCCTACTTCAAAAAATATCCTATCGTTATGGTTGCTCTAAGCCGATTTGACGTTTATTCAGGCCTCATTATTGAGTGGATATCTTCATTCTTGCGCCTTGCAACTTCTTTTGCTTATTTTTCCGGGCATTTTTTAACCGTACAACAGCGGCGAGGCTGGTTCGTTTGGCCTTTTAGCGGTAACCCTTGGTGGACTTCGTTAGTCGCCATTGGACCAGCTCTTCTGGCTGTCATTCTTATTTTCATGGATCAGCAGATCACGGCTGTCATCGTCAACCGGCGGGAGAACAAGCTTGAGGCAAGCACTTCCTTTTTATTTCAACGTTTACCATAATCTTTTGTCATAATCTATGTCATCATCGTATGATCTATACTATTACTATTTACACTTTTGCTAACACTGCATTGAGGTTATTATATGTTGTTAGGTTTCGAGATCTAGTGTAAAGATAGCTCTTATTGTATGATAGCCTGCAAAGGGTTTTGAGACAAACTGAATTATTTGTCTAATTCTTATTTCTCGAATTCACATTTCTACACAACAAATGCTCTTGAATTTCAAGAGTCTACGGTGTTAGAGACATTTAATAAAGCTATCTTTTTTTCTTTGTATAGGTTCTTTGTGTTTTAGTACACCCATCTACCTGGTTTTCCCTATTCCTAAAGCATTAAGATTACCGTAATATGGCAAAGAGGATTATGGATATAAATTGTCCTCTTTCTAAAGAAGTAAGGCAATCACATTTAGAGATTTCCAGCATAGCAGCTAGTGAGGCTTGATGATCTTAGTTCCTACTCTCTTGCATACCTTTTGGTGTGCTTTCTAAATGGCATATTTAATTAAACGATGGATTGTCTTATGCAGAACTGTATCCAGCCCTCTTTTTTTCTTACTAGATTCCCTTCTTGACACATCCTA